AAATTTTTTTAAAAAAATAATTAATTAAAAATGCAGCCTGAAGTGTGTTGTCATCTCTGGACGAAGGCCTGGGAGTTGGAGACCTCCTCGGTTCTAACCCAGATCTGATGGTGGATGGACAGTGAGTCACTAGCCCTCTTTCCCCATCTCCGTTTCCTCTAGGAAAGCGGACCTGTCACTTCTTGGTATCTTAGAGGGAAGATGCTGCAATCAGGTTACATCAGCGCTTCTGCACCAGGCAGAAGCCATCCTTCGAAAGGTGCAGCTCCGGAAGTCGCCCCCAGAGGTCGCTGTGGAGACACAGGGTGGGGCATCCCTCTGGGAGGTCAAGGGGTCCCCCGCTTGGCCCCTCTGGCTCCAAAGCCCAGCCTCCCTGGGCCTCACCTGGCAGCGAAGACTTGCCCAACAGTTTCAGTTATAAACAGTATATTTCTTTGAGGGTTTTTCCTAGTCCTTGAAAAGTCAAAGAAAAAAAACAGAGAGGAAATCCTGACAGAGTATGTGGCCTAAAGTTAAATGTAACCACAATTAGGCACTAGAGTTAGTACAAGCGATGATGCAATGACAACGAAGGAATTAAAGTGGGTCTGTTGTTTATTAATAACTCAGCCATTGTGGGAGTCAAAGGGTTCAAGTCTGTCTTTGATCTCTTTTTCTCTCTCTCTCCTTCCCTCTCTCTCTTTTTCTCTCTCTGTTTCTCTTGCACATCCACACACAGAGAATCTTAAAAAATAAAATCCCTGAACATCAAGCAAAAATACTACTATGTTCCAGCAACTGCTAATATTTTCCTTCCCTGGGCAACTGGCCCGTAGTCCAGCAACTTGTGCACAGAGAGCCCTGTCCCTGAATAGAACCTGAAGCCTCCCTCCCCGCCCCAGAACACAGCACTTTGGGGGTTATTCCTTCAACGCTCCACGATTTCCCTTGGAAAATGACAGGAGAAATAGAAAAGGACATTGTTTGGCATCAAATGTTTAACATTCATGTGAAAACAATGACGGAAGAAACCTCGCTGTGATGTTTCGGGCTGTATATTTTAGTTTATCTCATTCAATAGGATTGAATAAACCAACACGATTATTTATTTTCTTCGTTGCCTGGCCTGGAGAATCCACTCTTCATTAACATGCATTGTTTATTTCCCTTGCAAGGGAAATCCAAGATAATTTCTCACTTCTCTTTGTCCTGACTGATAGCACTGGCTGACCGAAGTTATGGAGGGGTGGGGCCACGCCAGGCCTCAGGCTCAATGAATGGGAAGTTCAGATGTCTAATTTAGGTGTTTATTACCATCATAATAAAGCATGGACTATACCAAATGGTCCACTTTCATGCTCCTATTTAATTAAGGTGACTTTCTGATTATCTTTCTATTCAAGGCTCTCGTTTTAATGTCCTTTGGATTGTAAAGATATTTTCTTTTTTAGGTGATTACTTTTCACATGGGACTACTAGCAGAATTCAGTAACGCCAAGTAACTATCAGGGGAATCGGGGCTTCTCAATGCTGGCATGCCTGACTCTTGGGCTGGATAATTCTTTGATACATGGGAGGGGCTCAGCGGTGGGTGTTCTAGGATGCTTAGCCAAATCCCCAGCCTTCCCCACTCAATGCCCACAGCACCCCTCCACTCCCAGTCAGGACAATCAAACATGTCAGATGTATCCTGGGTGGGGGCGGTGAGTGTGTGTGTGTGTGTGTGTGTATATATGTGTATGTGTGTGTGTGTGTGTGTGTGTGTGTAATCACCACAGTTAGAATCCCAAGTGCCTGATTAGTTAGAATGAAAGAGGGAGAGGAAAGAGAGAAAATGAAACGGTTTTGTCTCTTCCTTTTTAGGATTATCCAAGTCTCTACAGATTTTAAACTGTCCATCCTTGGACACCTCCTCTGGGTAAGGAGGTTACTCTCACTAAATCTCTAAAGCCGTGAGCAGTGTCTTTTGAATAGCTGTGCCTTGAACTTCAAATAGATTGTCAAAAGGACCCAGAAATCCACCAATTCCCACTGGGTAAAACGATCGGTAAACCTAAGCCTAACTCCACTTTGAGCCTTAAACTAACAGCATGTGAGAAGATCAATATGAATAAATTCAAAACGAATCAGACCCCTTCTCTAACTGTTGACACAGTATTATTTATATCCCCTAAATACCTTTCTTGACTAAAATTCATCCGAGAAAGTTGGCAACTGGCCAGTTCTATTCATATTTACTGTATTTATATAGCGCGCTGGGCCAAGGATAATATTTAAGACAAAATATGCCTGGAGGCATATACAATATCTCTTATATTTTTACTTTGAAATGTCCACGTTGCTAAAAATATTGAGTCTGAACCGTATAAAATGTGCCGCGAAGGGCGATCAGCGATCTGAAATGATATATGGCTCGCTGAGTATAATTAGAGCATATTTGTAATACTTGAGCCGGAGTCACTCCCTGAACGCTAATAAGTTGGGGGTAAAAAAAAATGAACCAGTGATCTTTCCCATGCCTTGGGCTCTGGGGCTCATGACCCTCACGAAGTCACTGCAAGCAGCGACAGGCACACTCCCTCCAGCAGCCACGAGCAAGTCCTAAAGGGGGAACGTTGGTACGGAAGCCAAGGCTGTACTTTCAATTTGCTGTTTAAAAATATGGTGGAGTGCTTTTCTCTTTTCTTCCCCCCCCCCCCACTTTTTTTTTTGGAAGGGTGTACTATATTCCAGTATAACTCGAAAGTGCTGGAAAATCAGTTAACCTACTTTCTGTGAAATGGTCCACAGTCCTTACACAGTAGGATGCAGTCTGCTATGGTTCTCGGCCCCTCAACACACATTCACAAGACAGGCTTTACAAAGCCTGTATTTTGCTTTAAGAACGTGCTTTAGGAAGCCTGTGTTTCGGTATGAAACGCCCACAGTATATTTCGAAAAATACTGGACTTCGGAGAGGTTTTCCTATCTTTGGTGGCTCCACGTGGGACGGGGAAGTTTCCACTTGCTGCTCTTCGCGGCCCTATCTGGAACCCTGACCCTGTGAGAATGTCTCCACTTTGGTGATGGCCATGACCCCAGGTCAGATCACTCAGCCCCTGGGACTGAGAGACGCTGGAAAGAACAGGGAATGGAGGCCCTCCTGGGTGACCTGCTCTCTCCACGCCTCTCTCCTGATGGATTCAGCCCTTTTCTGTGAAAAGCGCCGGCGATGCATCCGAGATTTTGCAGGTAAACACGCTACTGGGATGCCGAGTTCAGGGGCTGCATAACACACTGGCCCGTCTGCCCAAACAGCCGTGGAAACCACGCACGTGCAGGGGAAGGCACACTGACTCAGCCCCGGGTTCGATCTCAATGGCTTCGGGTTCATGACAATGAACCTTCTTGCCTAATATCTCCTTGGCTCCACCCCAGACCCAGAGCTTCGCTCCCGCAGGGAATAACCAGGGTGGAGTGTATTTATCACCATCATCATCACAACAATAAAACCGTCCTGCCTGCCAGGATCCCCTGCAGGAGAAGATGCAGCAAAAGACAGGCCGCTGGGAAGACCTGGGTTAGCTCCACAGGCTCACATTTTGAGACCGTCCAGTCGGAGACAGGGCAAGCCACAGAGCTGCGACTTGTCAAACGAAAAAAATATATATATTAAAAAAAAGAAAAGCTCCGCCCTATAACTAGAACCTCTGGGATCAAACGGATCAAGAGGGCCATATTATCTCTTTAGGAAAGACACCGAGATTCCGTGAAGGCAGCCGGCCAGTATATAGGGCATGGAAAGGGGTGGAGAGAAATGGGCCACCAATGAAAAGCTTACAACTTGGGGTTTGGACTACGCAAATATCGAAGCTTTTTTTTCTTTCTTTCTTTTTCTTTTTCTTCTTCTTCCTGGTATTTAACCCTCTCAGGTATCACGGATGCTTCTTTTTTCCTTTTCTTTTTTAAGGATTGGAACTAATTCTAAGCAGACTATCCTTTTCTCTCCCCCTCTCCCCCCACCCCAAGGAACTCCCCAATAAATCACTCGGCTCCCATTGCTACTGTATGCCAGCTGGCTTTGGGGACGCTGCCCTCAGAGAAGCAGGTTTACAAGAAGCAAATGAGCTGCCTTCTGCTCTCTCGGAGGCGCTCAGGAGTGCGGCCCGAGTCCCCGCAGGAGCTCAGGGCTCCGGAGGGAGAAAGAGAAACGCATAAGAAAGGCGATTTTGCTACACCGCGAGCTTCAGGAGGCAGGGTTGCGTAGATTCTGGAAAATAACGTGCAAGTCCACCCCCTTTCCGCACCGTCAGACACCAAGCCGCCCTCTCCACCGCTCCAGGTGACTTCCAAGAAGGGAGGGGGGGGGTGGTGCTGGGCACAAGCCGGCCTTTGGGAATGTAAACACCTGGCCGGGGCCACAGCCTCCAGAATCGGGGGTTAGGAGGTAGGTGTTTTGGAAAGGTTTCACCACCTCGGGTGTGTCTTGGCGATGGGAGCTGGAGACAATGGGGGAAGCTTGGGGGAGCCCCTTGGAGAGGTCGGCGGGGCGAGGGGCGCCTTCCCTTCCGGAGCCACTATTTTTAACCCTTCCTGCACCAGCTGGGCCGGCTCCGCGCCCGTCGGGGGAAGGAAAGAAACCCACCAGGATTCCCCTACTGCCCTCGGCCCCAGGGAGCGCCTCTCGGGGGACAGGGGGACGCCGGCTCCTAGCTGTTGGCCCAGCCAAGAATTTCAGGGGGGAGAAAAAAGAGAAGAACGCCCTTGAAAGGAAGGGGGGCTCTGGGAGGGGGGGAAGAAATGGAGAAAATACAGTGGAAAGGCAACGTTTTCCAGCCTTAGCTTCTCGCGCCCAGGAGTGGAAGGGGCGTGCGTGGGACGAGGGGCTGGGGACCGAAAGGCGGACGGGCCAGGGGGATCCCTGGCGTGGTGGCCCCGCTTGGGGAGCCTCGGGGCAACGCTCAGCCTCGGAGGATGGACACGAAACACACACACACACACACACAAACAAAAACCCCAGAAGCAAACAAGACGGCACTTACTTTCCGAGGGGAAGAAGGGCGGCATGTCGATCTTGTAGACCTCCTTGGCGTAGTACTCCTCGTCGCTGCGCTCTCGCTCGCAGGCGGCCGCCCGGCGGCTGGCCTTCTCCTGCAGCAAGTCCCGGGTGCTGTTGTAGATGGAAATGACCTCCGGGGGCACGTCCTCGGGCTCGGGGTAGTCTTCCGGGGGGCTGGTGAGCTTCAGCTTGCTGAGGATCTGCCCGCGGATCGCCTCGATCCTCTTGCGCATGAACTGGTCCATGTCGAGGGTGCTGCACGTCGACAGGCTGAGCGCGGCCGGCACCCAGTGCAGCAGCAGGAACGCGCGCAGCACACAGTAGTGCATTTTTTTTTTAAAGGTGAAAAAAGTTTCTTTCTTTTTCTTAAAAAAAAAATTTTTTTTTAAATGGTACCAAAAAATAAAATAAAATAAAAATAGAGGAAAAAGAAATGGAAAAGAAACCAACCAATCTGAAAACACAGGTCAGGTAGATTATTTTTTTTTTAATGCGAAACTTTTGCAGACAATCGAGTCACTGTCCAATAGTGTGAGAGAGAGAGAGGAAATAAAAAAAAAAAGGTATCTTGCTGGAGAATTCCTTTCAGAAGAAAAAGCCAGTCGTTCCCCAAGTGGAAACGGTCCTATGCGATGGGCAAAGGGAACCCTCACGTGGGGGGAGTTAGAAAAAGTTTCCTTGCAGCGACGAGCTGGGGGGGAAGAGAGGCGAGTGGCTAGGAGGCGGCAGTGGGTGCAGGAGGAGGACACGGAGTTCAGTGTGTCAGTTTCGGGCGCGGAGTGGCGGATCTGAACTCGGCTCCCGCGGCCAAGAGGGAA